GGTTCCGACTTGGATTGCCCCAGTTCTTTGGGACCGAGTCAAGTGTATTTGAACCTTCATTTTCCAAAGCAACCCTTTCCCCAAAATCTCGAACTTCTTTTAATCCCGCCTCTTCATTGCTTTTTTTTTTTTTCTGAAGGTTTCGATCATGTTTCATTCATTCAAGAGATTGGTACAAAGAGATGCCAACAAGGCCAAGGTAAAGATCCTCTCAAGAAGAACAAAACCAAGAGATGGATTTAGGAGAATCGGAAGAACTTTTGCAACCAAAGCAAAGTGACTTAGCATCACCAACAGAAGTGGATAAGTACATCTCCAAACCACCATAACTGGTGAGCAAACTGACAAGAGGAGTTACCAACTAAAAAGAAAACTGATAGAGGAGGTCGCATAGCCGCAAGCCATGAACTCTAACTTCCAACCACTCCAAAACTGCAAAAGACGGCATCATCTGTAACTGCCATCCAGCACACCGAAGAACTGCCGACTACAAGTTACCATCCAAAGAACACCGGAGAATTGTAACATCCATCCACAATGCCAGAGAACTGTAATGTCCATCCACAACGCCAGAGAACTGTCACTGCCATCCAAAAAGCCGGAGAAACTGAAACTGCCATCCAAGATGTCAGAGCACTATCACGGCCATCAAGAACACCAGAGAATTGAAACTGCCTTCCAAAACGCTGAAGACGGCAAAACAAGGGGCAAATCCACCGGTGATTTTTGCAAAAAGGAGACTAGAGCAGGAACACCAAATCAAAATGCCTGCAGAAAGAAAGCAAACAAAGAATAATACAGATGAGGGGAGAAACAAAAGAACAAACAAGAAAAACACAAAAAAACAAAGAAACATAGAAAAACAGAGAATGGGGGAAGACAAACAGAAGAGACACAGAAATACAGAGAAATACAGAAAAACAGAGAACGGGGGAAGATGAACAAAAGAGAGACAGAAATCACGGAGAAACACAGAAAAACAGAGAAACACAGTAAAAAACAAAAAAATAGAGAACAACAAACAAAGGGCTGAAGGAAAAAGAAAACCTCAAGAGTCTCGAGAGTAAACCTCGAGAGATCTCGAGGGTAAAACCTCTCTGGAAACAGAGAGAGAAGGGGGGGGTCACCCCTAGCAAACTTCTAAACGGCCAACTGGCAGCAAGGGAGTCACCCCTAGCAAACTTCTAAACGCCCCTTCATTATTTAATTCTTCTTTTATTTCCCCCCACTTATAACGCCAACTTGCAGCAGGTGAAGGTCTAAGGCATTCTAATAAAGTTTCCTTAAACCATTCTTTAGATGGATCTTCTTTCCACATTTTGAAATTTGAAAGAGGGGGCACTGTCGAGGAAATTGCCCTGTCACACTCCAAGATTGGACGATTCTCCATAGGTATCTTCATCTCACCCCCCCCCCACACGACAATTGAGGAGGCTACAGGGGATCCGTTTGGGACACAGGTTGTCTTCTAGCTCCAACCTCCCCCTTCGAAGCACCTTCCTCTCCATTCTTCGGCGTCGATCTTCCCCTAGAGCTATCCATCTCATGTTGGATCAATACCACCGTCTCTCCCATCACCTATTCACCCCCTGAAGACCTCCCTCTCCCTCTTGTCTTTTAGCCTCACCTTCGGTCTCTTAACTTTCATTCTCACCCATTCACAAATCTTCAGCTCTTCCGCAAAATCGTCTGTTCCCAAAAAAAAAACCCACACAAATTGTCAATCACTTCAATTACACTCAGGCACCACAGAGGGAGTGGGAGCCCAAAAACTCTTAACCAGATCTCCTTTGGGTTGTTCGAACTGTTCAACTTTTCCGGTAGCAAACTCGCCACCGTTTCCGTCCACCAATCCAGGGCCAATCTATTCCAACTGATATACCAAGGTCTATTTAAGAGGACCCACTCCGCCTCGTCCTTGGAAGTGAAGATGAAAAGGTAGCAATCCTCGATCAATTTCTTGACTCTGACCCCTCCCACCGCTCTCCAACTTCCTATCGCCCACACTTCCAACTCATCTATTGGGATTTTCCAATCCAAACATCCCACCAGGCACCTTTGCAAGAACTTTCTCGCCTGTACACCTCCAGTCACCGTTTCCAAGAAAGATCTATCTCTCGAACTCTTTAAGGAAGTTTCCCCAAAACTCGGCCAGATTCCCGCCGCAATCACCTTTTTGAAGGAAAGGTTTCTTCTAACTCCTCCGAAGCTGGATTATACCAAGCTTCCGCCCCCCGTCTTCTTCCTCCTCTTCCCTTTTCCCACATCCTCGCTCCCACAACTACACTCCAACCAGATTACCAAAACATCTTTAACCACCTACAAGCTATCGACGAGCACCAATGAACACCTCTATCGAAAAGCACCGCCAAACACCGACGAACACCTCTACAACCACTGACGAGCACTGACGAACCACCACATCCTCGCTCACAATGCTATCTGTATAGTCACTTTTTATAGTTAGAGCCCTGACTAATCATATTGGTAGTGTTATCTTCAACTACAAGGTTTCATATTCCTAGATTTTTGTGCATTATTACTAACTAGAAAGCTATTGGTGTTATTAATTTATAAATGCCTAAACCTCATAATGCATTCAGAGTTTCAGTACAAAAAGTAAAAGAAATAAATTGTCCCCATATTCTCTTGCGTCTTGAATAGGATCCATTCTTCCCAGGCTGTCATTTCTTGCTAGTTGCCATCATCAGGGCTGAAAGATACTTTTTCTTATCAGTAAGTCAAACTCTTCATTAAAGAAGATTGAAACTAAGACACAAAATATAAGTAAAGCTAAAGAATTTATGACCAAACACACAGGCGAGCCCCTCATCTTCACATGAGACCTCACCAAGTAAGTCTAACCCATTCCATTTTCATCTCACCCTCGTATTAATCATAATGTATGAGGAATGGTATCACCATCGCAACTCTGCTCTTTGGACTCCCAACCTCACTAAGCTATAAGCCAAAGAATTAGCAGACCTCCTTATCGGATCAAAGAGATTTTATCCCTAAATAAAAGAGTTGATGATTCTTTATAAGTATTGTGAACTATCAAAAGAATTTCTTTAGATAAGTGCCCCATCTACCATGGTCCTTCATCTTCATCATTCTTCTAGATGATAACACCCTAAGATTCACCTTCCACTTCCAACCTTTGGAATTTCAATAAGTAAATTAACCTTAAACTTTAAAATAGAGCAAGAATTCTCACCTTAACAGTAGGCTCAAATTCAGCCAGACCCAAATAGGCATAAAGATTATGGCCATTTGCATTTCTAAAGATTCTAACAATACCCAAACAATCTGGATTTCCTAAAGAATAGACATCAAAATCTTAGATTCATTACTCCTTGAGGAGGGAATCCTACTTGGACTTGAATCTCTCTTCTAGTGGAAGATGTAGAGATCTCGTGCCTTCCAAAGACGGATGTAAAGGGCAACTTAAATGAGGGAGGAATGGAGATTGCATTGGCTAGCCAATATATTTTGCAGTTTTGACTGTTAAGCACTTGTTGTAAATCTACTATTCTTTCATCCATAAGCAATAAAATCCAATCATCACCAATTTAAAAAAAAAAAATTGTACAGATTTCATTCCATGCTCTCATTACACCACACACTGAAAAATCTGTAGATTCTTCTCCTAAGAGAATTCAACGCACTACCCTTAGATGTATGGTGTTTATCAATGTTTCTAGATGATTCTTCATCTCTTGAAAAATTTTTGTTTTCCTTTCCCTTCATGAGTACAAAGAATAGCTGCTCTGGTACACCTCCAGATGTTCATCTCGCGTTTAATCAGGGGAAAATGAAGCAAAAAGCATCTATGATACCAAGGTACCTGCACAAGTGTTCCATATCATATCAGATACTTTAGTTTTTAGTGTAAATTCCATATCCAACACCTTGTCCAGCCATATCCATGACATATCTAGGTAACATAGAAAAGCATTATGTCGTCTCCAAATCACTATCCAATATGTTTTAGAGGATTTTATTGATTTTCAGACATCATTACAACATCTCCAAACCACTTCATGTAATTAGAATTGCAAGTTGAGTGGGTTCGGATTGAATATCTGTTAAAATTTGAATGAGCCAGGCCCAAAACAGTGTAAATTCTTCAAGTCAAGTACCCAATTTGCTCCATTACCTATAGTACAGATTCACCATTAATTTCAACTGAAATGGTTATTCTATGAAACTCTAGGGCATAGAGTTATTGAGGTGCTTTCAAAAATCATAAAAGGGAGGCTCTTTTGATTTCTTTGGTTCGTTAGGATAGGTACTTAGGTAGTTTACTCAAAGCTAGCTATTCACTCCATTAGGGATTTAGGCTTAATTTCTTCCTTGATTATGTGCAGGAGGCAATCAAATGGATATGAATTTCTTATGGAAGGTGTTGGTGTTAGCTTTACTTTACCCAGAGGCTTTGATGTAAGCATGATAAAAGGGAAAGAAATCAATCAAGGAAGAAACCAAGTTTCTTCAATAAAATATCCTTACCTTACAAAGAGGCTTTGTGGATTTTCCATGCCCCTTCAATAAAATATCCTTACCTTACTGAAATTAAAAAAAAAAAAAAGGAAAAGAAAAGAAAATATTTGAACTCCCGATTAAAATGGTTTGGTCATGTAAAATGAAGACAATTAGTGAACCAGTAACAAACTAACAATTTACTTTTGTGCAAGTTTAAGGTTGTAAAAAGACAATGGAGAAACCCAAAAGGACCTGGGTTTGCTTGCCCCTTGTTTGGATACCCTTATATGTGTACTTTCTGTGAATTGATGATTCAACAAACTAATCTAATTCTAATTATTCCAGAAAATCAAAAAATTCAAATGGACAGATACCATCTCAAAGACAAATTTGGTATAAATGCAAGTTAGAAATAGAGAAAAGTAACAAGGCAATACATTTCTGGATTTTACTGCAAATAACTGTTCAAATAAATGACAGAAATAATTCTATTGTGAATTAGTTAAGAATGATACCTTCCACAACATGTTGGTAAAAGGAGAACTTGCCCATCCTTGATACTATCACAATTAGTTGTTGAGCTGAATGAAACTGATAGTGGCAACGATTCCCAGGTTTGGCTATCAGGAATACAAAAACGTGCTGCATGAACTAAACAACACAAATCCACAAAGCATCTGACCCAACCAGTATGCACTTTAACCATGCTATCTGATATATGTGATAAACTCCTCATCCATGTACCACAGCCAACATGAGCAACCATAATGGCCCCTAATCCAGGTAAATTTGATTTATCTTCCTGGCCTTCAGCAATGAGTTGGTTAGAAGTATCCCCCTGCCAATTGGGGCAGCCCATAACCCCCAAAACAATGTTTCCTGCCACTACAAGAGCCAAACCTACCTGCAAATTGGGGTATTTGGCCAAATAAAAGAAGATATGAGCATTAATTGAATCAAGCTGAAACATTTCCCTTTCCTTTGTAACATACAGTTAACTTCTCAATTTACATAGTCAGCTTCCCTTGATTGCAGTGCCTTAAGATTTCATGATAAACATGAAAAGATATTCAATTCCATAACAAAGTATCGTGTAGAATCTCATACAGCATTTTTTCTATCCAATCCAATATTACAAATTTATGCACTGACACTGATACTTCATTCGTTCTAACAAGAATGTGGCACTTGAGTTTGCACCTTATCCGACCAAGTAGAACAAAGAGAATCTGTGGATCCAAAATGGAGGGGTGCATCCAGAATCTTATGTAATAGGAGAATACCACTTAGGCTAAAAAGAAATTTGTTACAACATTTTTCCTGAAGAAGGTAATTGAGATCTATTTAGGGGCAAGCCCCCCCAAAAAAAAGTATACTGTATACAGCTCCTCAAACTTTTTTTTGGTAATAAATAAAAAGAAAATTTTTATTAAAAAAAAAAGAGAGAGAAACAAATGGGTGACAAGATATCACCCCCAAAATAACACCCAAGATCCACCAAAAGACACCCCTTCATCCTTTTTTTTAATTACAGAAGAACAAAGACAACAAAAAACCAAAAGATCAAAACAAAACCCAGAACCCAATCAAGACCCATCAACCCTTTTAATAGGTCCCACCCCAATACAGTCCTTGCGATAACAAGCCCCTCAGAAATCCTCTTTAGACTTTTCTTCAATCAATGTATATCTCTCCTCCAGGGCCTTGAATAACTTCCTTGTCATTTCTTCCCCTCCTAACACCAAAAGTCCTAAAGCCATGTTTGCTTGAATTGCAGTTTCCACTACTTATTCGCATCTACTTCTTTTCTACCTTTCTAACTCTGTCAACAAATCCCCCTCCTCTTCTTGCTCCACATCAGAATTTTCTTCCTCTGAGATTACCTCCTTTTCCTCACCTTTTTTCTCTTCGCCTGGGTTGTTTTCCCCCGAATCAGCTTCTTGTCCCCTTCCCTCCACCACTCTTTACAAGGAACTTCCTAACTGACCTTTATGAAGAAGTCTTGCATCCTCTTTGTCAACCTCAACCTTTGACTTATCAAGGACACCACTTCCAGAAGAGTTCTTAGCAGGTATAAGTTAAATTACTGCTATATACATAATTGCAACAGAACAACCAATGCTGCATCAAAGCTAATAATCTGTATCCAATTGCTTGAGAAATCATGAAATCCAAGATCAGTCAAATTACTTCACAGGCTGGACCATCTAATGATGGCCCTTTCCACCTTTCCTAACACAGATTCAAAAGTGCATGACTTATAAAAGGATGGCAATGCTGTATAGACCAAAGTATTGGGCAATCAGGAAAACACATGGCCAAAATGAGTGTGGCAGAAAAATGAATGTTGAGATGGATGAATGGAAAACTAGAAAAGATAGGATCAGAAATTAACCTATTCAAAGAAACCTTGGAATAGCTCTAGTAAGTGATACAATGAGGAAAAGTAGACTAAGATGGTTTGAGCCACGTACAGAGGAAACCAAGGTTCAAAATATCGATACAGGCTGATACGCAAGATGGGGCATAGAAGGGGCCCCGATATGATACATATTGGCCAATACGCCACGATGTGTTGCGACATTTCAATCCTTGGAGGAAACCATCTACAACAACAGTGAAAAGAAGTGACCTGTTACAAATTGAAGAGGATAAAAGAACTACGGGTATTAAACTCCACCAGTGTGAGCTTGTCTTACAGACTTACACTGCTAGTCCCAAACCCATATAAAGTATGGTTGCATGTCAGGTTGGTTGCAGGCACTTAAACTTTTGCCAAACTCTCATGGTCATGGATGAAATAAGATTCTTGTAGCCAACCCCATATAGTTGGGACAAGGCTTAGATGATGACGACAACGACAACGACGACGACGATGATGATGACGATGATGAGAAGAACTAGGGGCAGACCAAAAAGGACATGGGCTGAAGTAGTGAGGAATTATTTAAGAGCCTATAATTTGACAATAGATAAGGTATTGAACAGAATGGAATGGAGGAACAGAATTCATGTGGCCTACCCCACATAGATGGGACAAGGCTTAGATGGTGGTGGTTGTGGTGGTGACAGAGTTGTACAAGTCGGTAATATTTTAAATAATGGATATGGTACTAATATTGTGGCAAACAGTATGTCAAGCTAAATTTATTAACATATATCTCCATAAGAACCTCCAAAAGTGACTTAATCATCTGAAGGGCCGTCACCCAATGATGGTACTAGCTAACCAGACACACACTTAACCGTTGACATTTTTTTTGCAGAAAGTGGCTTCTCTCAGACTGAAATTGAGTTCTTATGCTTGTCATCCCTAGATTTTACCATTGCACCAAGTATTGGCCCCTAAAATGGCTTTATTAAAAGCATATCTGTCAAAACCTTATGATTTATGACAGGATTCAATTCAAATTCCCAAGTGTCTGGATCCAAATCATACCATCAAAGCCTTCTCTGGAAAAGTCTACCAGCTACCATTCAAATTTTATTATTCCATAACTGAATCTTATGGTTTATCCAATTAATGCAAGTTAGTCAAGTTGGCCATGACAAGTTCCTTACTTGGCCATTCCTTTAATATTTTTTTTTTCAAATGGTTTTTGTTTTAAAAGCATCAGTTGACTAAAGACTAATTATAGTTGTATAAAACTATGCAACCTTTTTGAGATTATTTCCACCAATATATTGATTTTTGTTTTTTCTTTTGAGAACATATTGGTTAAAGAATCAGTACATGTAAATTGACTTTGAAGTTGAATTTGATTATATCATCCATTGGTTATAGTATTTAAGTGGTAAATACCTTGATGGCAATTATAGTATTCAAGTCATTTTTACAATTTAATTAAGTTTTCAAATATATACATTTTTTGTATTTTTGGCAAAATTTTAAAAATAAAACAATCTTATAATGTATGGTTCTATTCACAATTAAATCCAATTCAACCTTATGTATGCTTCGAAATTAGAAATACAATTACAATTTTTAGGGGATGGCTAAGTGTCAATCCTCTATTTGGGCAGGATGTTTATTCTTCTTCTTTGTTGGTTGTTAATTTTTTGGGGGTGAAAGAAGTTCATATGTACAGAATCATTACACTTGTATTCATTTTTTGCTTAATACAATCTTACCTTACATTTTCAAAAAAAAAATTACAATATTTAGAAGATTGACTCAAAGCCACAAAATCAATAACTAGCATTGAAGAAAATCTCTTCCTCAGGTAAAAATAAATAAAATAACATAAAAAATAAACATACCACATATAACGCCTGACTACCTTTCAAAAAACCTCGTGTACCATCAATTGGATCAAGTACCTATAATGAGTATATGAACTGAATCAGTATAAATAACATAGAGTATCTATTATAAAGCACAAAACAAGCTCATATTCTTTACATGGAAATGAAGTAAACAGTGGCAATATTCTTTACATAGACGGAAACTCAGTGGACCATGCCAATGAAGTAAAAACAGTTCACCATAATTTTATTAAAAAAAAAAAAGATAAAAGGTACCTCACAAGATCCAAGAGTAACAAAGATTTCTTTTGAAACAAATCCAATGGACAAGCCAGAGTCTATGTTGCACAGGTTGTTAGAAAAACCCAATTGGGTAGGACCCAGATTGTGGTCGGTCCATCATAGTGGCCATGATCCATATTGAGAAGTCCCAATCTCTACTGCCTCAGAAAGAGTTCATATGGTAGGCGGTTGAGACTAGAACTCCCCCACTAAAAAAAAAAAGAAAAAAAAAAAACTATTCAGTTGAGATCATGGGGCAATTGAGAGAAAGAGAAAATAGGGGATTAAACCCTATCTATTTCAGGTAGTTCCTTGATAGGTGGAAACCACCCATAAAAAACTTTATGAGGGCCCTTTTCTCCCAGTCGTGACTGCCATTCTCTCATCCACTGAAGCTCCAAAACTCTTCTTTTCCTATCAACACTAGAGAGAGAAAACTTGTTGAGACTGAGGGAGAAAAACCAGTCCTTGTTCCACTATACAATCATCTTGCTGGAGGTTTACATCAAGCTAACACTAATCAATCTGAGAACTGTAAGGAGACCCTCTCACGTTGCTGGTATTTGCTGGGAGAAGAACCAGATCTTGGAGGCGTTCAATAGTGGCAATGGTGTCTGGAGGTAATGTCTTATAACTTAATATTGTTTTTTTATTATTTGTTCGATTTCTCAGTGATCTATATTGACGACCTTCACAGGTGACAAGGCCCATGACCATTTCACGAATGGAAGATAAAAGTCATATAGCAGCATAGTACTAGATACTGCCTTTACAGGAACTACTTTTGAGCGACAAAATATGTTTACTGACCAATTCCCTGGAAACATATAGCAATAGACAAACTTCATTCAGTGTTTTTTTTTTTCTGATAATTACCAAACATCATTTAGTGTTAACCAAAAGCTTCCACTATACTGACCCAATACGTCTCGGGCTTCACTCCAAAAACAAATGCACTCTTGCCTCCTCTGTCAATGGCTTGCATGACATCATTGCTGGTTAATGGTTTATCTCCAGCGCTCGTTTTATCAGTAACAGCACTTACCACAGAGTCCAATAGAAAACTCGAACTTGAGCGCAGAAACGCTGAATCCTCTTCCGCCACCAAAGGAATATCAGGAAATAGCCTGCTCAGCTCTGACACAGTAGTCAACTTAGAAGAAGAAATAACTCAGCAAAATTTGTAGCAGAATTTCTGAAACAAAAATATTTTTGACGTAAAGAATATTGACAAATTAGAAGCAAAATATAATGGTTTGTAGCATGTAGGAACAATATCTATCTTATTTAGTCATATTTGAGCTTAAAACAAGGCAAATTAGAATTCGAGAATAGGGAATAGAACAGGCACTACAACCAACGTAAGATAACCTGTAAAATATTGGAACTATATCCATCTTATTAGTCAAATTTAAACCAACAACGAGTTCAACTAGCATTCAACAATTCTGGTTGTATTAAAAAAAAAACTAGGAAATCAAAACTGAGCAAAAGAAAATAAAGATTACCCAAGCTGACGAGAGCCTGTACCCCAAAATCAGCCACCGTTACAGGAGTTTTATCGCTCTTTTCAAAAATACGTCCATCGCTGGAGAACAACGACTTTTGAACCTATCAATTGCCGGATGGAAAAAAAAATGTTTCTTTCAGAAAATAGACAAAAGTAACTTGGTATGAGATTAAAATCCTTATAGAAATTACATCGGAACAAAGACGACAGGCTCTCTCGACCACATCCACTGCTGCTTGGAGTTCTCTGTGGTACATTGCCTTCTGCTGTGGAAAAGGTAAGCTTGATCTGAAATTTCATCAAACAATGAAGATCTTCAAAAACCTAAACACCAAAAGAACGAACATTTACTGTAATTGATGAATAGATGCAAGAGGTTACAACACAGAGACCTTACAGTGAAAAACCGAGTGGAAGGGCGAAGAGTAGGACAGGAAGAGGAACTCATATGATTGATGGAACAACCAATATGGAATCCAGAACAAGAACGTATAAGAAGATCCATGGCGGGAAAATAATGGAGTGTGAAGCTAATGGATTTCTCACTGCTTGCAAGGCCTCAAGTTAAACTCTATCAGACCATCCATTGTGTGTGGTCTGCGCTTTCATTTGTTTGGCGCTAAAGCGAATGATTTGTTCCAGCCTTCCTGGAGATGTGGTCAAATGAGCCGAACGCACTAACACTATTGATCCCGACAAAAATTCCCTCAGACTCGGAGTCTCAGTCCAGATTTGAGAATCTGAGGATTCGACTAGTGCTGAGGTTGCTGAGCGTTGGTGATTGGTCTGGGCTGGGCCGAGCCGGGACACGGGCTGTGAAGGCCTGTCTCCAATTCCAATCCAGAGCCGAGGCACGGGCTGTGAACGCCCGTCTCCGATCTGAGTTCTGCGCCACGCCATTTTGTTTTTTGGGAAAATTCTCGATAGTTACCCTCTACTTTAAGCCGAGTGCCATTAGTATCCCAACTTTAAAATGCAACAATCTAATACCCGAACTTTTGAAATAAGATAATCTAGTACCTATTGTTAATGGACTGTCAATTATGTATATCACGTGACTTCATGTATGATTTAAGACATTTGTAAATACCAAAATTACCCTTACACACTGTTCATCATCTTCTTTATGGTCTCCCAACCCCTTACCGATCTCCCTAGTTCTTCATCTTCTTCACCATTTGAGTAAGATCGAACGTAATAGTCTCTTAACAGGAGCTGGTACAACGACAATCTCGTTACCAACTCCAACCACCATCCAAATACTAGAAGTACACTAAAGGAAGGGGTGGATTACAATAAGAGAAGAGATTACCAAACCACATATACCTTGAGATTTGGCGTTGCAACAGGGGAAGCCGAGCTACCTTCGTTTTAGAATGTTTTCTTCTAAGTGCAATGTTGAGTCGGGCCTATAATCAGGAGCTTTGTCGGTGAAGACAATGTTTCAGATGTGGGTAATGTCCAAGTGAAGAATGGTAACTTGGGTCGCTATTGTCATCACTCTTCTTGACCGGCATATGAAATAGAGGATCGGTGAGTTGGGGAGTCGAAATGTTGAAAGAAGTTGGCCTTAATGTTGGGGAACAATAAGACTTCAACAAAACGGTGAGGTTTCTCCGAAAATCTGAAAGGGAACGAATGAGTATTGTCGTTATGGAGGTTCTTCCATGACTGAAGGAACAGAGGCGGAGGAATGGATGTTTGCCAATTGAGAGATTAGTTCCTAGGATGACCTCTTGGATGTTTGCCAAGCACAATTTGAGACGTTGAAACGGCACCTTGGAGACAGGCCTGAGGTCTGACTTCTTGCGCACCGACTACGATGACATGTTGTGCGCAGTCCTCCTGTGTCGAATCTCCTTGCTCGACCCCTTGAGGCTATTGTCATTGTCGTGGCCGTTCTCCATTAATGTCCAATGCTCCTTTGAGCCCATGATGCTTATAGTAAGCTCTACAACCAAGAAGAAGAAGAATGTAGCAAACCGGAGATCTTTGGTGAAGAAGGGAGTGGTGCTACTATTAATATAGAGAGAACTGTGTAAGCCATTGATATCTTTTTTGTAAGTAAGCCATTAATATCTGTTGTAAAAATAATAATGAAGGCATAATGGAACCTATCGATAAACGCTTTCCAAACCGAAGTTACAGTGATGAGAAGTTGTTGTAGGAACATGACACTGGGAATTGCGGGAAGAAGGAGGGATGAGACATGCCACTTGGTCACTCTCCTTAAAACCGCATTTGCCCCTTATGGTGCAGTTGGGTGATCGCAAATCGATCGTCAAGATAAAACAACCCACAGGCTTCTGGTAGGCGTGCACTCGCTTACCAAACCTTCGCGAACCACAGAAGTATGATGCTCAAATTTCATAGAGAAGACAAAGAAGAAGAATGTCGAAAATGGTGTGTGTAACCTCAGTCAACCATCATCCCATTTATAGATTGGTCTCAGACCCGAATGGACACAGATGTGTTAGAAGAGACACGAAAATGCTTTGATTCAAAAATGAATTCGAAAATGAAGAGACGCAATTTTAAAAATTGAAAAAGTTTAATTAGGTTAAAACAAAATGATTCGGTGCATCATACATACACATACACGTACATTCTCCAGCACCCTTGCCTCGGCCTGGCCCGACTCAGCTCGGCTCGATAGGAAGTACCATGTACTACGGGAGATTGTTGGTAGAGAGGACATCCAGATTCAAAAGGTAGCATCAACAGAAAAATGTAGTAGACTCATTGACTAAGCCACAGACACAGAAAGTATTTGAGAAACATGTGGAAAGTATGAGACTCTAGCTTATACCCGGTTGGACCTAAGTGCAAGTGGGAGCTGTTAGACAACGTATGCCCTTAGCTCCAATCATCTTGATGTACATTATGACATTTATTGTAAAAGAATAAAGTACATATTTGATTCATGTTATATTAGTGTGTTTCTGTGTAATACCCTTAAACTGGACACTTATGAGACTCGTGTTAGTTTAGAATCTTCACAGTCGTTGAATAGATATAGGGAGATTTGCCTTGTCAAAATTGACACTGATGTGCAGCCAAGTGGGTTGGGGTGGCTTGTCTCAACTACCAAGGTGAGACCTGAGGCACATATAGTGTGGGCTTTCTTGAAACCCTGAACCGGACCAAATTCCAGTATTGCCCTGGACCTTGGACATAGATGGGCAAAACTAGAATGTTACACCTGACCCCTAGACTCGATTATGATGCTGCATTAGGTGTTGGATTGGGTTGTCTTTGATATGCCAATCGGTGAGATCCTTAGAGGGGGTCAAAATCTAGGTATGTTGGGGCAGTCTGAGAATTCACCTGAGTGGGTGATTATAGTGACAAGATCAACCCCTTCGTCGGACAAAGTGAATGATCGAAAAATGCACTCTCTCTAATGGAAACCTAAACTATTGACAATTGATTTCAAATTGTTGATATTTGTTTTGCAAAATATATTTATATAGAGATATACATATATATTATGGTTTCACAAAGTGTTTGCAAAAATGTTTTAATTCCCAAGATCCATATAAGTAGAAAAGTGCAACACTATACTTTGAAGTTGAGGGAGATGTCCTCTCTTGTCAGGTAATGTTTGATCATTATGAGCTGAGAGGTTAAGTGTAAGACCATTTAGGGATAATAAACTTAATGGGTTAATCTCACATCTGCCCACAGTCCTTGAGCCTTCATAAGATGGCTGGACCTAAGGACCATTTAGTGTAAATGTTGGGCCCATTCAAAGCCCATACTGATGGACTCAGGGCTCAGGGGTTCACTGTATTCAACAGTGAATTTCGGCCAAGCCTTGTAAAAGAGGTTAGGTTGAACCCATGTGGCTTATGTGGAGATCAATGATAGGGTCCCACACCATATAAAAAGAGTTAAACTAACCAACATTTAAAGGGAAAGTGAGATATATGACTAAATGGGACTAAAGCCCATTTCGAACTAGGCTTAAGTTAATTAAAAAGGGGCGAGTTCTGGTTTATAATCTGATTAGGATTAGTTAAAGGATAAGATAAGTCTTATCCATTTAAGAATCTAGATCCAAATACCATATTTGGATCAAGAAACTCTTTCCTAATTGGATTAAAAAGTTGATCCAAAGAAGGCTATAAACAGGGGTGAATTCACTAGTTTCACGCACTCACCAACCTGTAGAGTTCTCCTTTAGTTCTTGCCGCCCCTACCCAGTTCGATCTCCTGTTTTGGATCTGATCAAGAATAGTTCTTGATATTGTTTCTTGCTATAAAAAACAATCTAAAGTCATGCTCACTCACCCTTTGCATGATTCTTGCTGAAGAATTACGGTTCTTGTTGAAGAACCACTTTGCTAATCCTGCTTCACCATACGCTGTGCCATCTTCAGTGGAAGTGGGTTTTGGTCACCTTTTTGGGCATGAACACCTATGTTGAGAGTTACTGTTATTCTCTATCAGGTAAATCCCTACTTGCTTCCTTTTAGTTTCAGATTTGGTCCATTTGTTTCAAGAACGAACCTTAAAAATGCAGTTTTCTAAATTAGGGAATAGGATTCTCGGATGGGAGAAAGATTTTTTTTTTAAATTTTGCCTAGCCATCCTGCATGGTTCAGCCATCCATATGATAGATCTCCCATCCCTTCAAGAGCGATTGTACCTTCGCTGAAGTATTGTCTTACCAAGTTATGCCTTAAGCGGATGTGCCTTCTTTTATCGTTGTACGTTTGGTTTTTAGCTCTGACTATTGTTGCTTGGCTATCACAATGGAAAGATATGGATAGAACCGGTCGTGGCCAAAGTAGTATCTCTGCCAACAAGTTTCTTATCCACTCTGCCTTGTACCCCACCAATTCTAGTGCAATGAACTCGGCCTCCATTGTTGAATTTGTATTGCATGACTGTTTTACCGATTTTCACGATACTGCTCCTTCACCTAGAGTAACACATATCCACTGGTGGAAGTATTATCCTTTCAATCTGAAATCCAATTCGCATTAGTAAAAAACCTTCTAAAACAAGAAGATAACATGAGTAGTATAAACCAAAATTTATGGTTCCTTTTAAATATTTTAGTAATCTTACTAAAGCTTCCCAATGTTCATTTCCAATATTATGAGTATGCTGACTTAATTTTCTCATAGCTATAGTTATGCCCGGTCTTGTACAGTTCATTGAGTAAGATACAGATCCAATTATACTTGCATATTCCTTTTGTGAAATAGGTTCTTCTACATGTTTCCTTAAGTGAATACTACAATAAAGAGGTGTTTTAACCGGTTTACAATCATAGTATCCAAATTTTCCAAGGATACTCTCTACATAATGTGATTGGGAGAGAATAAAGTTTCATTGTTCTTTATGGATTTTAATCTCTAAGATTACATCAGCCTCACCTAAGTCCTTGGTATCAAATTTGGACATTAGAAATTGTTTTGTTTCTTTTACTACCTCTAGACTAGTTCTCTTTATTAGCATATCATCGACATATAGACATATCATGACTCCTCTATTATTTTTAAATTTGCTATAGACACATCTATCAAAATCATTTCTGTTATATCCATTAGTTACTAATACATTATCAAATTTTTCATGCCATTATTTGGAAGCTTGTTTTAAGCCATACAGAGACTTAATTAATTAGATACTTTATTTTCTTGTCTTGACATTATGAAGCCTTCAGGTTGTCTAATGTAAATTTCTTCCTCTAATTTCCCATTTAAGAAAGTTGTTTTCACATCCATTTGATGAACTACTAGTTTGTAAATGGATGCTATAGCAAACAAAACCCTAATTAATTGTTGTTAATCTTGCAACCGGGGAGTAAGTGTCAAAGAAGTTTACATATTTCTTTTGTTTGAACCCCTTAGCAACTAATTTAGCATTGAATTTATTTATTGTGCCATATGGTTTAGTTTTTAGTTAAAAATCCACTTACAATCTAGTGCCTTAGTTCCAGGTGGGAGATTTACAAGTTCCTAAGTGTGATTAGTGACTAAAGAGTTTATTTCACTTTTTATAGTTTTTTTCCAAAATACTGCATTAGGTAAAGTTATAGCTTCCTAATAGGTTATTGGGTCATTGTCCATTAGAAATGTGAACATTCCATCACCTAAGTTTGTTTATCTTCTTTGTCTTTTACTTCTTCTTAAATTTGGTTTTTGCCTAGATGAACTACTAACTCCTTGAGCATTCACTTGTTATTGGTTTCTAATTTGGTGTTGGGAAGATTCCCTATTTATTATTTCTTTTCTCCAAGGAAAGATGTGCTCAAAGAACTCTGCATCTCATGACTCTATTGTTGTGTTGTTTTCGACAACATTATCAATTGATTTAATTAAAATGAACCAATAAGTCGCATTGTTTTGTGCACATCCAATGAACACAGTCACAAATTTTTGGTCCTAACTTCTTTTTTTTAGGTTCAGGTATTCAAACTTTTGCTAGACAACCCTAAACTCTTAGATGGTTCAGACTAAGTTTTCTGTTATGCCAAAGTTCAAAGGGTATTTGTCATTTCTTCTTGGGTGGTATTCTATTGTAAAGATGACAAGCCATCATGATTGTTTCCCCACACAAATTCAGAGGTGCACATGAACTAATTAACATTGCATTCATCATTTCTTTTAATGCTCTATTTAGTCTTTCTGCAACTCCATTAGATTCAGGTTGATAGTGAGCTGTTGTTTCATGTATGATTCCATTTTCTTCAAAGAATTTTCTAATGGTTTGTCCATCTTACTCAGTTCCTCTATCTGTTCTAAGTCTTTTTTATTTTCTTTCCTAAATGATTTTCTACTTCATTTTTATAGTTTTTGAAAGCTTGATTAGCCTCATCTTTTGATCTAAGTAGAACTGTTTTTGCATATATAGAAAAGTCATTTGTAAAAGTTATATAGTATATTTTTCCTCCTCTATCTTCATGACATTTTAGGTCTCCTAAATTACTGTGAATAAGTTGTAATAATTCAGTTTCTCTTTGTACATTTGTATGAGGTTTCTTAATAAATTTTGCTTCTACACATACTTGGCATTTTTCATTTGTAAAATTAATAGGAACATTCAAAACTCCTAATTTACATAATCATTTTAAATAAGGAGCACTACGATGTCCTAGTCTAGCATGCCAAATATCAAAAGATTCAACAATATAAGCAAAAGAAGAAGCAGTTTTATTCATGATTATATCAGAAATATTTAGTACAAATAATCCTCCTACATTGTATCATTTTCCAATAAAAACATTATTCTTAGTTAACACAGCCTTGTCTGCTTCAAATGTGAGATTCAGTCCTACTTTGTTGAGGAGTGCTCCCGATACCAAGTTCTGTCGGATCTCCAACACATGTAGCACATCATTCAGCATTAAGATTTTTCCTGAAGTCAATTTCAGGAGCACCTTTCCTTTTTCAATGACTTTCGAAGTTTGTAAGTTTCCCATGAAGACTTGCTCTCCTTTAAACTAATTTGTATACTCATAAAAGGAATTGCGGTCTCCACATATGAGCTTGGTAGCAACGGTATCCAATACCCACTCCTTTGGCTTATCAACTAAATTTACCTCAGTTACTATTGTTGCAATAACATCCTTAGTCAAATTAACTTTCGGTTTCCAAGAGTTCTTCTTCTTTCGGTACCGACAATCCTTCTTATGATGTCCAGGTTTGCCATATGCATAACAAATTCCTTTCTTTTGTTGCTTCTTGAATTTCTGATCATTTTTTACATTCAAGTTCATTTGAATTTTGCAGTCTTTCCTCCATCATATTGGTTTTGGAAAACTGGTCATCATCTTTCTTTCTGTTCCAAAGTAGTGTCATTTCTCTTATGTTTCATACTGATTTTGAAGTTATTCCATGTATGTGGCAGTTTCTCTATGAGAGAACTGGCAATGAATTCATCTGGGAGTATCATGCCTTCCAATGCTTGTAGTTGGTTCCATTAAATGGTTCAATTTTAGAGAAATCAAGAACTTTTGACAGTATCCGGTTCCTCATGAAGGGGTTAGCAGAGATAGGTTCCATAAGTGCAGTTTTAAGATTGTTGTAAAAATAATAAAGAAGGCAAAATGGAACTTATTGGTAAACGCTTTCCAAATCGAAGTTGCAATGATGTGAAGTTGTTGTCGGAACTGAGAATTATAGAAAGAAGGAGGATTGAGTCATGCCACTTGGTCACTCTCCTTAAAACTGCATTTGCCCCTTACGATGCAGCCGAGTGATCGCAAATCGGTCCCTTTCACGGCCACGCATGAAATATCTATAATACTCGCTCTCCTCCTATGGGTCCCTACCTATAGAGAGAGCAAAGCTACAAATATATTCAACTTCCACTCCTTTCTCAAGCAATGTGAGACAGGGAATCTTCCCATGCACTCAAGGGTGAGAAGAGGAAAAGACAAAAACAAGAGGGAGGAGAGAGATTTTTGAAAATTTGAATCTCCCTCCAATAATATCTGAATCAAGATTTGGGAGATAAGGGCAAAATTTTGCCTTGAATCAATGAAAAGTAACATTTTTATAAAATAACTAAAATAAGAGAAATTTTTAGAAAAAATATCAAAAAAGGGCAGTGGCACTGTTCATAGTCTTCCTCTGCCTTCCTCTGTATTCATGCCAGCCATTTCAATGAATCAACGGGTCTTGACAGTCTATCCCGCGTGCCGGAGGTTCAAGAAATCGGAAATACAATGGGCTCTATGCGAGACTGGTTCTTCCAACAGAAGAAGTAATGCAGCTCCTTGGAAGGGCTGGCAAAAGGACCCCGGGTGAAGTCAGGTTTGCCGGTGGAGTTTTGTTGTAAAGAATGAAGCCAACGCGGGCTGCTCTACTTCTAGCTCTCGGGGCCCCAACGTTAGTCACCGTTCTCTTGTATGTTAGCATAATAGCACCATTGTCAGAAAGCAGAGCGAATGACGGGTAGTTCATATCGCCTGGCTGAAGAAATTGATTTGTAGGAGGACAAGTGAAACTCCGCCGAGCTACAACAGCCATTTGAGATGAAGTGTAGTTCAGACTGCACAGGTAGTTCAAGTAGTCCTCAATGCCGATATCATAAATTAGCCCCAGGTCGGATGCTCTCTCGGGGTTAACATGTCCTGATCCAAATGCAAAAGGTATTGATAAATCTGAAGAGGAAGAAGAACCAGCAACAACATCTCTGATTGGAGTAAATTTGTCATTTAACATATAAGCTGTTGTCATTAGAGCTGATTTGATCGCTGAGGGAGACCAGTCTCTATGTACAGATTTAAGGAGGGCAGCCAGGCCACTCACATGTGGACATGACATGGATGCCCCTGAGATTATGTTGAACTCAACACTTCTTTTATCACTCTTCAGCCATGTCGGGCTCATTGTAGGAGGCCAGGCAACCAATATATTCATCCCTGGTGCCGTAACGTCTGGCTTCATCACATCGGGTGTGATTGGGTTGGGTCCTTTTGCCAGCCCTTCCAAGGAGCTGCTCTACTTCTACTGGAAGAACCTGTCTCGCGTAGAGCCCATCGTATTTCCGACTTCTGGAACCTCCAGCACACAGGATGGACTGTCAGGACCCATTGACCCGTTGAAATGGCTGGCATGAATACAAAGGAAGGCAGAGGGAAGACGATGAACAGTAACACTGCCCTCTTTTGATATTTTTCTATAAAAGTTATTTATTTTAATTATTTTATAAAAATATTATGATATTCAAGGAAAAAAGTTGCCTTTTATCTGCTAGAAACCCTTAAAATAATAACCTTTCGCTGTTGACACAGCACTGTTCATCAACGCCTTCATTGTCCAGGATCCGACAACTCCTTTATCGTCTAGAGGTCACTCTCCAAAGCTGTTCTGGCCACCTTCAACTGTCTGGAGTAAATTTGTACATGGTTGATAAAGAACATTAGGTGACACTTGAAGGGCATTTGTGTCTTTTTTCATGACACTTGAGGGCTGGTTAATAGCATGTACTATATTGTTGCATTTCGAAAGTTTGAGTACTAGATTGTCGCATTTTAAAATTCGGGTATTAAATTGGCACTTGGCCTAAAGTACAAGTAGACCTGTTCATGGGCCGGGCCAGGCCGGGCTCGGACTGGGCTTTGACTCTTTATTAACAAAAAAATGTTAGGCCCGAGCCCGAGCCCAAAGTCCGACCTAATAAAAGAAATTCGAATTTTTCCCTATTCAAATAGACATTATCTATTTTAATTCAGATGTTTTTTTCCCCTATTTAAATGAATAATGAGCCTACAAGTGAATCAACAACCTTCTCAAATCAAAAAATTTATTCAAATGGACATCGCATAGGGTTTTTGCTTAGGTTTAATTATAGGTTGAGCCGGGTTGACTTAGGTTTAACTATAGGTCGGGTCGGGCTATTTTGGCAAAGTCTGAGCCCAGTTCGAATTTTATGCGGGCCAGACTTTTTGGCCTGAGGTTAAGCCCACGAGCCAAAAAGCCTATTCAAGCCCGTTCGGGGGTGGCCCGACCCACCCGACCCATGAACAGGTCTAAGTATAGGGTACCTATCGGGAATTTTCCCTTTTATTTCACCAAATTTCTTAAGTCACCCTTATGATTTAGTTAATTGAATGATTCTCCTTTACTATTTAACTATTGTCTACCACCACCTTATTGTTTTTGATAGTTGATATTATAGTTAATTATCATAAAAAAATGAAATATCTAATTCATCCTCTATTATTTTTCAAATTTTTAAAATAAAACTGATGAAAATTTTCAAAATGATAGGAAGCGAATCAATCTCAGTATATGTTTTCTGTTTCCATCTCTGTCTCTACCTCCGCATTTGTCTCCATTTTCCATCTTCCTTTGTCTCCATTTTTTGTCTTCCTTTTTGTCTCTACCTCCACCTCAGTCTCCGTCTGTATCCTTTATGTCGTCTCCCTTACCTGAGTAGAAACTGCGTCCTTCTTGTTGTCTGTCTCTGCCTCCACCTCTGTCTCCCTCTCCGTTTCCCTATGCCTTTGCCTTTGTTCACAAGTTTTAAAATATTTTACATTATCTTATTGTAAAATGAATCACTCTTTCTAAAGTTCAAACTTTTTAAATAGAAGAGATGAAAAGGTTGGAGCCTTGGAGGAGGTGGTTACTTTGCGGCGTTTGTGCCAAAGTAAGAGGAAACCGTTGGAGGAAACTCAGTGCAGCAAAGCTGGCACCACCATCACCACTCTTTCTTTATTTAATTGAAAAGGAAAAGCTACTCCAAAAGCAATAAAATGGACATTGCCTTTTTTTGATTCCCAGCTCGGAAAGGCAAATGGCAACCGAATGGACAACAAAGCAGAACCGTCTTTGTGTAGCCCTAACTTTGTGTAGATGGAGGCAGGGGCAGAGCCAGGGGGACCCAGGGGAGCCATGACCCTCCCTATGGTTCAGAAACTCCCCATTGAAAAATAGCTTTTCATCTAAATTTTCTTCTCTTCCCACTCTCCATCTCAATGGTTGGCCCCCTCTATTTATGTTTTGGCCCCCCTTATAACAATTTCCTGACTCCGCCCCTGGATGGAGGTGATGGTGATTCTGGTAGATGCTCCCTCCATGCACAGACAAAGCCATGTCTTTGCTAGAAGGTGGTGAAGTAGGATGATCTTGGCAGTTTTGGTGGTTTCCTCTGCGGTATTGGGGAAGAGAACAAGAGGGATATGTCAAAACGGAGATCAAAATTTGGATATATCAAAACATTTTACTCTAAAACGTGTCTTCCACCACAATGAACAACTACAGAAATTCTTGTTTGCCACATACGATGGGTCTCAACAATAAAAGCAATGATTGTTTATGCTTGTGGCGGCCCTTTCTCGAGTGAATAGGATGTCACTGGGTCACGGTAAATCTGGTTTTGCTTGACACTATAGGGCCGGGTTATGATTAAGTATATTTGGTTTAGGGTCGAGTTTGCGTTTGATTCTTTGACCCAAGTTGAGTTTGGGTTTTGACCGATCCGCCCCATCGGGTCATGGTACCTTGCATATATACCAAGTATTCTTGCAATTTTTTGATTTCTAATTTTATAGGCTTAAATTTTATAATTTATTTATATGTTGATTTTGATTTTCTTATTTTTTTAAATGGAAAAAATAACACCTTAGAATCTATAAAACAATTTCCTTATTTAAATTAATGTAATTTAGGTCTTCAAAATGTGTTAAAAATACATTTAAAACTATACAGGTCAAGTCGAGTCAGGATCAGGTTAGACCCTACTGGGTTGGGTCGGATTCGAGAGTCATGTATTTTTAAGCTGGGTCAGGGTCGGGGTCGGATTGGAGGGTTAGGTTAGGATTGAGGCAAAGCCGCGCCAAACCTGACTTGTTGACATCCTTACTGGTGAACATCATGTAGCGGAGTCAAAACAAACAAACGATGGGTATCAACAACAAAAGCAACAGCCATTTTATTGGCGAACACCGGATCCCTACCGGAGTTGTAGGAAACAAATGATGGGTCTCAACAATAAAATGTCGTTGGTTTACTATGTCTTCCAGCAAACTCGCCATTTGGACATGCTTCAACCGCTGAAACCGATTTCATGCCCCGACTCCTTGAACCCATTTTCAAACGGTAAACATTGGCGCCATGGGTGAATAGAAGCAAGCACCTATTCCTAAGGTTCAGATGGTAGGCACTGGCACCCCCACATTTCAGACGACAAGCATTGGTGTTGGGGGTGAAAAGGGTATTACTATCATTTTTTCAAAATATAACAGTCACATGGTGTGGCATATGAGCAAATTATGATGGAATCTAATGATAGGGGAGTAATTAGTCAATTATCAGAAATAATAGAGGTGCTTTAAGACAATATATAAACAATAAGGATATAATTAGTCAATTAGCCAAACAATAGGGGTAGTTTGAGAAACTTGCCCCTTTTTCATTGAAATTATATGCCTGAACCAATGAACCGTGATAGGGGTTGTAAATCTTTTTATCTTTTTTTGGTGCAATATTGCAAGTCAGCAACACATAATTCACTCATAAATAAACGTGGCAACCAAGGTATAGACTTGGTTAGGTATCCGTTATCTCTAGTGGGTATTCAATTGAAAATTTGCAATATAATTTCCATGCAAATATTTGAAATCTAAAAGGCATTTTGACCTTCCAAATGGATCTCCATTGAAACAGATATAAGAATGTATAGGTTGTGATGAGAATGACAATGCTCTTGTGAAACAAAGATAAGCTGATTTCACAAAGAATGTATAGGAGTTTGGGTGCTTCTGAAGGAATTTATCATAATTTAACTCATAAGAATGTCGAAGCTTCAAGATCTCAACAATTGTGCTTTGTATTAAGAGTTCTTTTGAGAATTGCAAATTCCAACAACCATTTTATTATAGCATATCTTTAACTTGGATTCTTATGGAAAAATCTCTTTCCCTATGTATCACTTACCTGCACCCATCTCCTAGGTGGATAAATAACTTTCCCATATGGGGGAAAAGTTGACAAAACAAGTTGGGACAATTTTGCCCACTTTAACATTGACTTTTTATGTATAAAAGAGTCATTGTATAATTTACCTATGAATCAAAAAAACATGGGAAAGTTCACTTGCCATGGTAAGTGTTTCTCAAGTAACACTTACCCGAATAAGTGAACTTACCTAGGCAATTAGCTTGTGTGGTTGCATTGTGTGTCCTCAACTTTTTTGAGGGTATCCTCCATCTAGGGGTGGTCACAATCCGAGCTTCTCACAAGTTATTCGAGCTCGGCTTGGCTTGGTTTAAACTAAGCTTCAAGCCAAGCTCGAGCCTAATATATAGGTTTGTTTGCTAATCAAGCCGAGTTCGAGCCCAGTGAAGCTCGACTCATGAGGCTCGCGAGCCTAATCGAGCATAGTATCATAAATAAATATTTTTTATTATATACATACATACATTGATACATACATACATATATACATACACATATAAATATATAAATATATAATAAATATTTTTTATTATATATAATAATATTTTATATATAATATTTTTATTTTTTTTATGTATAATAGTAACTAATTTTTATAATTCTTATTTTTTTGTTATTAAAATAATAATATTTTTATATGTAAATTTTTTATTTTTTAGAAAAAAAACTTGGCTTCCAGTCAAGTTCGAGACGAGCCAAGCCAAGCTCGAAATTGTGAGCTTTGAACCTAGCCAAGCTCGAGCTCAAGTCTCTAGCTTGAACTGTGCTCAAGCTCAAGCCTAACACAATTTCAATGAGCCGAGCTCGAATAGCCAAGTATTCGGCTCGACTCAGCTCAAATCCACCCTTACCTCCACCAATAGAGGGAACTCAAGGATCATCAACAAGAAAGATTTGACTTCCATTATGGAATTGCCATATAAAATCATATTTAAGGCAATCTGCAACACAGAGCATTTACCTCCATCATATTGAGTGTCCAA